CATTTAAGGATTAACTTAAGTCATATCGAGCACACGACTTAAGTTGGAATTAACTTTTTCATCCAATACGGTTACGAGTTTCTCACTTAACTTTTGTAGTCTGGACAAGATCTAACATCCTAGACTAAAGCCAAGGGAATAATTTGGAATATATAATTCTAATTTATATTTTATCAGAAAGATAACGTGACTAATTTGTTTAAATTTTCTATTCCAATAGAGACCAATTCTTTAATCGAATTCACAACTGTGATCAAAATAGTGGCTTAATTCAGAAAGAACCCTTTTGGTTAGGTTTAGAAGTTTATTTAAATACGTAGACAATAAAATTATGCTGCGCCAACAGTGTAGAACGATTAGTTAGCCGCTTTTTTTCTTTCAGCTGCTTCTTTGATAATTTGTTCTAGCGAAATCGACTCAATTCCCAAGGCCTTGTTGCTTGTCTTGCCTTCAAAATTGCATGCGCCTTGTCCATTGAACGCCACAGCCATCAGATATCCATGAGCGCCTTGTGCGAAGTCTCCTTTTGCGAATAACTCTGCTCCTCGTTTGAACTCATCTTCCGTACTGGTATGCTTGACCGTCCACTTTGTACCCGTGTACTTTTCGAACAAATCCAAGGCTTGCTGCTGCGTGGCTGTGACGTCGGCAATATAGATGCGCCTGTTCAAGGTCAATTCAGGATGATGAATGACAGCAACAACAGCTTTTCCGATACTGGAAAGAGTCGTACCGGAAAATGCGTGTTTGCCGTCGTCGTAAAGAGTGGCTGTGCGACTGGTAATGTCAAAGCCAAGAAAACCATTATCCAAACCCCAGTCGAGAAAGCCGCCAGTTGTGATGAATGTGTGTGCAATGCGTGACTCATTCTCTTTGAGCAACTTGATGACGGCGATTTTCGAAGCAAAGATCGGAAGAGGTGCAGCAAATGGATGGCTAATATCGGCAGTGAATTCGGTTGGAATCACCCATTTGACACCCGCTTCGAGAGCAGCTTCAATGAAACTTTTGTCTGAGTTCTCTCCCACGGCTGCATTACCAACTGCAGAAATGAGGACGTCTTGGCCGGTGAACGTTTTGATAAGTGCCGCTTTGTCTGAATAGTCAAGTTTGGTGACTCTGACATTCGACGGGAAGGTTGTAGTCGAGCTAGCGCGAGAGAGAACGCTAACGTTGAACGCGGAATCGGCAAGAAAAGCCGAGAGGATATGTTTGCCCAAATCACCAGCTGCGCCGACTATTATGACGTTCTTGTAGCAAGTGGTAGACATTTTGACTTTGATTTCAATGCGTAAAAATATAAAACTTGGCTATCATCAACAGAATATATTGATTTCTCTTTCTGCAGCGTGGCAATGACGAAGCATTTTTTTCCTTTTTTATGCTTATCACGTTATAGCACATTTTTCTATTTCTACACTCTCCCTCTCTCAGTATTTTTTACACAGAATAGTTAAACAACCCATGACTAGTCGGTGATGCAGAGAATACGAGGCACTGCGTTTACGGTGACTGAATAGATAAAAATAGTAAAACAATAGAAAGCAGAAAAAAGATTCTCGATTCATCATCTAGTAACATTAGAAGTGTGACAAATAGTGGTTTTCGTTTCTTTCCTATTTTGTTTTTTATTCATGTTTTAGATATATCGGGTGGTCCCTCATTGGTCACTTGGGTATTTCGCTCATATCTCAGTTAGATTTTATCCCCTAGGCTTTATTGTTTTCTTAAAAGGTGCGCCGTGAAAATCTCTATTAAACATTTCTTATGTACTGTGAACATAAAAGAATATAGAAGAAATACTGCGAAGCTTCGATCTCAATTTACTTTGCAACTCAAAAGACAAGGAAAACAAATTTATCTTGAACACAGTGCCGTATGTCATAGTGGACTTCTAACGTAAGTTCTAGTGTTCCGAAGTGTCGTCTTTCTTTTCGTTTATTGGAGATTCGGTTTAAACGTGTTTTTCTGACACAAAAACGATTGTAATAAAATTTAACAAAAAAAAGGAGAATTCCGTGTTTTTCGCCGTGACACAGGAAAAGAGAAAATATTGAATTTTCTCTGTACGAATGTAACAAAAGAATTATTTTACTTTGAGATAAATCAAACCTGACCTCCAATGACCGAGTTATAAAATTTTTCCTAACTGTACAAAAACTGCGATTGGAAAATCTTGATTTTGGAGAAAGTCGATAAAAGAAAACAATTCTCTCACATCGATTATGATTACGAAGAGTTTTAAATATAGGCACTTGATAGAGCTACCAAATGGCCATCTTCTTGTTTTTTGTTTCGCAAAATATGAAGGACTAAAATTGAAAAAATTGTTTTTTGGGTTGCAAAGTAACTAAGATTGAAGCTTCGCAGTATTTCTTCTGTATTCTTTTATCTTTACAGCACATTAAAATAGATTTAGTATATATTTTGTAGAGATTTTCATGGCGCATCTTTTAAGAAAACAATAAAACCTACGGGATAAAATTCATCTGAGATATAAGCGAAATACTAAGTGACCGATTCATTATGGACCATCCGATATAGTGTGTAGACTGGTTAAAACACGCTTTCATTGTCTTTTTTCTTTTCTCTTTCATTCGACTACGCGCTAGTATATAAACTATATGAAACGAAGAAATACATTATGATGTGAACTTCGCAAGATATTCACACATATAGTCTACAGAAGTATCGAATATAGTTGATAATGCATGTTTTACCGTGGGCACAGACAATATATGACGTGAATGAGAAAACAAAATAGAAAGGAAAAAAGAAAAGAATAGAAAACCGCTATTTGTCGTAGTTCTATTATTGTAGAACCTACAGTCTTGTGTACATCACTAGAGTAAGAAACTAAGTAATAATAGACCACACATAGAGAAAGCGGGCTAATGTAAGCGAGAACGGACCACAGAGAACGAAAGCTTGTCATAGACAAAATCGGTTTAACAGGTTCGACCTGTTATCCTTGGACCAGTACTTGATTCTCTGAAATGTTTTGCAACCATTTTGTATTTCCGACGGGCGTGGGAAGTTTTAAACACAATTAAGTACTTATTGAAATTTTAAATTGGTAAAGGAAGGTGCCGACAATCCAAAATTTCAGCAAAATTTATTTTTCATTTTTTTATTTTTTCGTAATTCTTGATTTTCTCCATCAGAACTCAACTTTTGTACAATAAAAATATCATATTCAGGATTAGGATCAAAAACTGAGTCGACTAATATGTATTGCAAAAGCTTTACATAATTTTCATTTTTCGCTGACAATCTTCATAATTTTTCAATGTGAAAATTCGAGAGAAAACGAAGAACACCTCAGTCGACTCAGTTTTTGAATTTTCTCCAGAATGAAACATTGAAAAAACGCTCAGTGTAGTCTTCCATACCGCATCGGCCAAAGATAGGTTTGAAACAATTTTACGTACAGAATTAGAATGAGCAGATAAATTAGAGTATTTGCTAACATTCTGAAGTAGGTTGGATGGATTTTGACTGAGTTATGAATTATTTAATTTGTGATGAAAATAATCAATAATAGGCTTTTTCACCTACATCTCCCAAAAAATCAATAGATTCCTATTTGAATTTCGGAAATTCCAAGTTAGTTTTCCCTAAGATCCTCTGAAAATCCGGCTTTGAAAACTTTTCCAAAAATCGGTTTTGCTTGTGGAAAGATCGCTTCAAGTCTTGGCTATCGAATGGTGAAAATTGCAAGCCTCTATCTTTACTTGGTGCTGAGTTGAGTTATTAAAAGAATAATTGCTGCTCCTGTATTTTGAGTAGTGTCGCAGATTTACAATTACCAGCCCAATTTTTACTGTTTTTTTTAATATTCTATACCAAATCTCGCAAAATCTTAATTATTTCATTATTAAAGTGCAAATGCATAATTTACGGAGATAACAGGTTCATTCAGTTTTATAGACCTTTTGAATGATGTCTAATTCAACTATAGCAAGCGAAAATTCGATGATCTCTAGCAACGTTGCTGGAGATTCCGCTGCTTTCCAAATGCTTGTTAGGGTTGTTTTTCAGCGAAGTTACATATAACAGAGCTAAATGTTTGGAAAACTAGGTTTTCATGTATACTGAATCGAATCTGATCATAGAAAAGAAGAGCTGAATTTTTGCAGTTTAACAGTATTTCTTGATGTGCTTGAATGCTGCTTAAAGTTTATAAACTATATCAAAACATACCGCTATTATACGGTAAAAGCGAAAGTAAAAACAGCAGCGCGCGCTAAAGTGAGTTGTCCGTGGACAAGGAGAGACATGAATAGGCATCAAAATACATAAAAAGTTAATATTTTCTGTACGTTTTTCTAGAATAATGTCGAGAAAATGTTCGCTTCACGGACAAAACATGAATAATATTTTTCTGATAGCATGTTTTCGTGTGCATAGTAGAAGGAAAAGAAATGGACAGAGAAGGGATTCAAAAAAGAAAAATCGCTAATATGGAAGAATTAACTGAATTAAGAAGACAACAAAATAGTGCCCTCTCCTACTCTTCTTTAAAAGAGGTGAACAATCAACTTGAGTCCATAGTGACCTTTTTTAAAAAAGTTTTTCTTACCCTGAAAAACAGCATAAAATGTCGTTACATTTCTCGTTACTTAAATATTGCCATGACACCATTATAATCGGTTGCTTCATTCACCAATTGATAATCATCTAATGTTCATCCTGATTGCGGTTGTCCTTTCAGAAATATTTAATTAATTCGTGGTTTCTGTGCATATGTAATCATACCCGGACCTTTTCGATTTGCATTTTTCATTTAAAACAATCAATAAAATTTAATTGGTCTTTAATATGTTTTGTAAATTATCCGATTATCCAACTTGATTTTCTTTTCATTTTTGTACCATTATATCTTAAAAATATTATTTAGCATAAGCATCCAAAGCCAATTTATTATTTTATTGAACAATTTTCATCTCTTATCGTGTGAAGTCTGACGAAGAAACTTGACTTTGACTTTCGCATACCATTTCTAGCGCAAAAAGTATTGTTAAGAAAGCCTTGAATAGCGTTAAGCTTTAGGAAAGCATTATGGAACAAAAGTGTTGGGATAAAAATTGTTCAAGATCAAATTCTGCGTCAAACAACTGCACGAAATTTTGAAATATCTTAAACTCGATTTTTAAAACCCAAAATGTTGATTTTAAAGTTTAAATTTTCGTAAAACTTAATTTTTAAATTAAGTTTTACAAATTTCAAAAATTCTTTCTACTATTTGACACAGAATAGGATGCTTTGTTCCACAGTGCTTTCTCGAAGCGAAACACTGTCTATACCTCGCTCTGCGCGATGTACCCAAGCTAAAAAATAAGACCTGCATCACTTTTTTTTCTGCTGCGAAAATGACTAGATGCATCTAGATAACTAGATTTTTTTTACTCATTTAGCTAGATGCTGCTGCTGGAGCATCGACTTATCTAGCTGCATCGCTCGATGCATCGACTCTGATCCACAAAATAAAAGGATAAATGCATCGTTTTGGCTGGAATCTGGTGACATCTGTGCGATACACTGATCGATGTATCTAGATGTGCATCGAGCGATGCATCTAGATAAGTAGATGCCCCAGCAGCAGCATCTAGCTAAATGAGTAAACAAAATCGACCGATGCATCAGCAAAGGCATCCAGATATTTCTGCTAGAGAGGTTTTACTTGGGTATAAGAGCAACGTGATAGGTTATTCGCTTCCGTATGAGAACAAATATGTCGTTTATTAAGTGAAAAAAAAATCTTTCAGAATTCCTTCTAGACGCTGCGATGTTCCACCTCTTTTCATACCGTTGAATAATAATTGCTCTCATTGTTCTTACAGTTCATTAAATTGTATTTTTATCAGCAATAATAGAAATATTTTCAAATATTTTTTCGTTTAGAAGACATTTATATTAAGAGAATTAGTGTTTATCATCACAACACTAGTAAATAATACCAAAATGCGTATATTGATTGATACCGAGGCAACAACAACGTTTATTAGAGAAAAGTCATTAAGAAAAACAAAACATCATAAATACATCAATAGCGATTCATATTCTTTTTTATTAGCAGATGGAGTTGTCCCCTCTGTGTCAGGAATTGTTGCATTAACTACAAAATTCGGAGATCAATTAACTAAAATTCATGCACATGTAGCTCGAAATCTTTGTAATGATATGATAATAGGAATGGATTATATAAACCGTGATAATTTAAACGTTAATATTAAACAACAAACCATAAGGATAAAACGCAAATGATCGCTGATAAAGATTCAGACACACAAATAATTCCTGTTAGATTGCTAAATCTGTGCATATTCGAGATATATATGTGAAACGATTGTTATCGTTCCCCGACAAAATTTAGCGAAGAAATTCGGATTTGACCTTGAGAATGATCTCTTTGGGTGGCTAAAAGTGTGGCTTGTTCGACACCGTGCCTGCAGTTTCTCAATGGGGAAGCATTTTTGAGCGGAAATATGCGTGTAGACATTGTTTATCATGGTTTTTTTTTCGCTGGAGTAAGGCGCGGCTAATTCAAAAGAGGAGCATGTTTTTATTTCTGCCTTAAAAGCCCATCACTCGATGCAGAATTTCGTGCTGATTACGAATATCACTTTTTTGAAGAGAAAAATGCAAAAAACTGAGATCGGGTGGAAAACCTCAAAAATCGTATTTTTTGAGAAAAACCTGTCTAGTCTTTTCCACTCAGCTCAAAACTTTTTTATAC